CCTATTAATTATATTGTCTCGGTATTTCTTACGAAGCAGTTCTTGTAAAATTATCGATTTTATGCTGCAAAAAGATCGAAAAGTTCATGAAAAACGACATACGTGACAAGGCTCTGTTCATCTCAACTGTTGGCCTGAGGGTTGCATATTAAAAATACTGAAAATTTCTCACAGTTTTAAAATGTGATCTTTGTTCTAATTATCACTGCTTTGGTTTTTTTCATCTCACGTTTCTCTTTCACTTAAAAGCAACGGAAAGCTCGCTTAGAAAGTTTATGTAAAGAAACTCAAAAAAGCTGATGAAATATAACTTTAGGCCATAAGAGACGTGTTATATTGAATATTTTTTTTCGAGTTTTAGCATTAAACGTGCTTTTAAAAAGCAAGGAAACACTAGCACCTTCGCACCAGCTGGTTACGTTGTTATTACGTTCACTTTACGTTATACCTGTACGTAATATTTTAATTTGAGAGTGAAGAATTGTTATGGAAAGATTATTTACGTGTAACAAGTGACGTTATCTCGTTATGTTGAGTATGTTACCGTAATAAGTAKAATTTCCTAATTTAAAAGCTTTGCTATAATCCACTCACTATCTTGCGCATGTTGTATTGATTACGCCTATAGATTGCGTTTACGTAGTCTTATAGTCCATGATTATACGATTATCGTATAATTATGGCATATACGCTTATCCTGCGATAGCGTAAGATACACGAATCCGCTTATGTTGTATTGATAACGACGTTGAAGTAGTTTTACGTAGTGCAACGCACTCGACGTGCGTTAATCCACTTACTATATTACTTTTATTGGTTACGGCGTCAAAGTACTTTTCTATTGCGTTACGATTACGTAGTTTTTGCACTACGATATATTTCCAGCTTAATATGGCGTGCGTAAATTCACTAGTAATTGTTTACGTTATATTGGTTACGCATTTAAAGTACTTTATAATACGTAGTTTAAACTTAGTTCAATTACCAGTAAACTGCAGTTAAAACGTGCGCAATTTCATTAGCAATATTACGTTATCTTGATTACGCAGTCAAAGTGTTTTCCATGACGTTACAATAAGTAGTTTACACCTGCATTTAACGTGCGCACATTCACAAGTAATATATTACGTTACATTGCTKWCGCAGGYACGTTTCCATAGCGTGAAGTTTACGYAAAAACGAGTTACCATTTTTCGTGCGCATATTCACGAACAATATCACTTTTTATAAATGAAGACTGCTTCTTCACTTTTTATCGATCTTCCAGTTTTCCGTACGCGAACTCGTTTTATCGATAACGCGTTAAATGAGTTGTAGGAGTTTTACGTTGCGTTGCACTACGTAATTTATTCTTAGTTTTATAAAAACCACTTAACAATCCTCTTGCGTTATTTCATTATTTCGTAAAGAGATTAACAGTATATCTACGTCCTAACGGACGGATGTGCGTTGTATAACGACCAATACATCTCTCTTTTCTTATATCCACTCAGTAGCTACGCTTAGTGTCTGCTTGCTTGATATACTTTCCGCTTATCTGAAGTCACGGCGAGTATAATARGAAGAGGGGGCAGAATTATAGAAAATATGCGACAATTGGAAAAATAATAATTATAAAACTCATTAATATTCATAAGGCAAAACACAATAGAAATCATAGCCCATGAAGAGAGTTGTATATTACATACAGATTTCTTGTTCATTTGCATAAACTTTAACTCTGATTTTCTCGGTCAGATTGATTTTTTTTTTCAAAAGTTTCTTTAAAACCTGAGCTAGTTTACCTCAACGTTTCATAAGTAATATACAATATTCGCGGGCGATCTGTATGAGGTTTAAAACAGCTCGCTTTCAGCTCGCTGTTTTAAATCCTCACACAGATCGCCCGCTCATATTGTATATAGTGATAATAACAATAATGATAATAATTATTATAATGATAATAATAGCAATAAAGAAATAAAGATACACCTACTTGTCAAAGAAAATAGAACATTTGAATTTAGTAAAAAGGAATAAATTAAAACAAGACAAAAGAAAGCGTTCAGCCTCAGTGATCTTCTTTTGTCTTGTTTTAATTTATTCCTTTTTACTAAATACAAATGTCYTATTTTCTCTGACAACGTTTTCGCAAGTAGGTGTATGCAAAGAYTAAGAAAAGAAAGGACTGCAAAATAAATTACAACTACAAGTAGCTATAACTAAATTAAATCAAGTAACTAAAAAAATACAATCTCAGTAAAATAAATAGAAATTGTGTTATTGTAAAATCAAGTACAAGACATACTAACTACCCTTCAAACGATGTAAGCAACGGCCATGTTGARCGCGTTAATGTCACAATCAGTCATGAATCGAGCGAGTCAATATGAATAAGAAATGAAGAAAAAAATGGAATAGAAAAGAAAAAATAACAGCGAAAAGATAAAAGGATCAAAACTGATGATGTAATAAGTTAAAGTACTTTGAAAGTGATCTTATAGTATTATAGATATAGTATGTCGTTGGCATAGTATTATATAGAATAGAGCATCGTTCCTAATCTGTAGATTTTGATAAGACTTAACTGTCTTTTCTACGGCAGACATCCAGACGTAACCGAACCGGCTTCGGCTTACCTTAGGTGACTTATAAGATCAATAGCAATAAAAAAAATTGGGCCACTGTTAAGCTGAGGAAATAATTCAGTTGTATATACACTAAGTCACTTAGTGTAAATGGATGTATACCATGTTGTGCTAGCACCTGTACAGTGGGAGTTTTTTTTCACATGGCATAGCGCTCCGTGAATCTGGTRGATGTGTTACCTTAATCAACAATTAGGTGTAAAAGTAATAAATATAATATAATGTCAAGAGCTATCCTTCATTTGCATCGAATTAGAAATGATATTTTCCTTCACGTTCCCTTCGCCATCTTCAAAGATAGCCGTGCCTTTGCATCGAAGCTAAACCACCGTTGAACGTGTAATGATAGAAACCTTCTTTCACACGCTACAGACAATTATTCACAGGTTTCTATCATTGCACGCTCAACGGTTGTCTCGCTTTGATGCAAAGGCTCGGCTACCTTTCAAGATGGCGCAGGGAAATGTGAAGAACTCTAATATAGTGAATGGCCATGTTGCATCGCGCCGTAGGCGAGGCTGGTAATGCTCGAAACCATGRACGCAGAATTTATAAACGACTTGTAAAATTCAAACACTAATACAATATGAATTAAATGACAGAAAAATAACAAGTAAACATTAAAGTTCAGTCAATAKTAGGCTTGTATATTTTTAATAATTGCATGCGATATTTCACGACATTGTTTGAAATACCTTAATAAGGTTTTTAGAATATTTCGAATAGAATACAGAAAGGAAAACTTAAATGTGAGTTTTTGCAGTAAAGTGGACGTGATCTGCTGGACTGATTTGRTCATTCTATACTACTATCAATACTTTTGTCGTAGTGTCTTAACGTAAAAGGCTTAACTTATATGATGTAACTCTAGTCGGATAAGAAAAGCTTTGTGTATTATTATTTAAAAAAACAATGGCTTTTGGAGTTGTAATCTGACTTTAAAACGGTTAACGACGAAATAGAATATATAAAATATGTGTGTAGTTTTTCTCTCCTTTTTTATTTATTTATTTTTATTTTTTTCTCTTTTTTAAACCGGACGAAGGCGTTTCTATAAACGGACGTTGATGTTATCCCATTAACCGTTATTGCACTGTCGGTTCCAGAATTTTCGGGTTTTGTTACTTGATTTGATTGGTGATACTTTAAGAAAAATGTTTCACTTATCTATTTTATAATCTAGAAATGGCACTTAATGGCATATTAAAATTACAAAAGAAACATTTTGAAAAAGAAATTGATAGGCGGTTTCATGTATTCAGACATAAAAAAATAATAAAAAGGTTCCGTTGACACCATGGATACCATGGATCCGGTACTGATGTGTGGCGTACATTCTAGTTCATCCCATTCATCTATTCATTGTTCATTCATGTTCCCATTTCATCCATTCGGGGTTTGTTTCATTTATTCAATCATTCGTTGATACAGCATCTAACTTGTCCCATTTATTTTTCTCGTGCATTCACTCATATCCATCCATTTTTTCTTCTATTKATTTATCCATGTTTCTACCCATCCGCTTTTTCTTTATCTATCCCTTCCTAGTTTATAATTTCAAATGTTTTATTTTATTTTATTTTTTTAACTGTTGTGTTCGASYACCATTGGCGAATTATCTTGRCGATCACTATCGAAGCCAAAGTAATCGAAAACCTGTTAATCTTTTTCCCGAGGATCGAAATAATTTTTTCCTTCCGAGGATCAAAATGCTTTCAACGTATCCAAGTGCGGTTCCTTTGCTAACAGAAACTGGTTGAATGTTTCCCTATCGTGGCATTATCTTGAGCGTTTTTGACTTTAGATGAGATTATATTGTTTCAATATTCCATAAAAGCAAATAGCAAGCAAACAATCTACTTTAAGGTACGCTCGCATTGATCCTAAAGTTTCCTGTTCTAATTTTTCCTTAATCCACCGATGTCGAACTAGGATTTTGTCAGTCACAGAAAGTCTACATTCGCTTGAAATAAGACCATTTTATTCATGCGTCAATGTTTTACAGGAAGCAAGAGAAWACSCGATGAATAGACTGATGTATTTGTAGCTTTGATGTTTCGCACTGCAACGCAAACAGTAGCGGACGCGAGTCGAAAAAAGTGTCAAACCTTTAATTTTAGATGTCAAAGATGAGAGAGAAGGGCCAAAGATGCACAATCACTGTTCTTTATGTTTCCTCTTCGCCGTGTTTGAAAAACGAAGTTTTGACATCAAACACAACAAAGAAGACAAACAGTAAACACTTTAGATGAGGTTCAAATGGAGCTGATTCGCGAGGTCGTGACTAATTTACAATTAAAGTGCATTACTCTTCTTTTATTTTCATTYAACAAAGTACCAGATTAAATGAGAAGTTCTTGGAGGTTACCCTACCTTTTTTTACGAATCCAAAACAGCGTTGCTTTGATTTCAAGATTATATCTTTCTGAAACAAAAAAAAAAATATTCTTCAATCAACAGTCGCGTGGGTCCAGTACACGCACGTGCAATATTCGTTTTAACATTCGAAAGATCTTGAATAAATCAAAGAAAAGCAACGCATTGAATCAAATTATGTGTAAACTATTAGTAGTATGTTGATGAAACGCCTCCCAGTACGTGAGTATAGAGAAAAAAGGTTACTATAAAACGGATTAATTAAAACTTGTAAAGCCTTCTCTTTTAAATTAGATGTTTTAAGRAAGATGGGAAGTTTTAAACCCCATATACTCGCTAATGAAGTRCCCAGGGTTGTCGGACACACAGCACAATTAATCTGTCAGACGCGATATGATAAGCTTCTCAAAACTCCGTTAAGTGTTTGTAATATATCTAAAGTTTATCTTGACTGCACATATCAGTCGTCTTGAAGGCAAAATAATTTCATTTTGCCTTTTTTTTCCTCATAAATTCCCCAATGCGCCGTAAGCTTGCCTAATRTTTGAACGACAGAGACGTTTCACGCCGAGATGGGTAGTCGTTTAGAGTCAAACTAATCACATCAAACAAAAGCAACCCAYAGCTTTAAAGGTTTAGCGTCAAGCTTGCTTTTTCTATAATTTGTCTCCTTATAATTTTATTTTTAWAAGAACGACCAATGGAAATATATAGCTAAGATCCGTTTAACCGAAGTGAAATGCAGTTTTTTACAAGCACAAATAATCTAATCTTTTTCGGCAGGTGGAACGTTTAAAATTTAAAACTTACGGCGAGGAAATTTCACCTGCGAACTGCACAACTTATGCGATACTTTGTAATTACTTATTTTCCTTAGTACCGCATTATTATCAAAGCCAAATGTGGATTAAGTGAAACACGAACGACAAATTAATAAAATGTAATTACCGCAAACTCGCTGACCGACGGTATATCCTTTCAAAATCASTGCCAATGTATATGGTGCTATTTTCTTGGACGGCTGCAGTAAAGCTCAAAACCTAAACTCTTGCTTCGCAAGTGGCCTACCAAATGACAGCAAATCTTCTCGGTCGGAAGATTTTCTGGATTTGCACTTCAGCGCACGCGCGTTCGATCTAATTAATGCCGTATTTTAATTGGGACAAGACTCCATAAACAAGTGATTAAGAGAGCTCAAAAATAAGTTGAAAGTTCGGCAGTTGTGGGTTTAGAGGTTAATTTTGAACGGGTTTTCTATGTCTGTGAGCGAGTTCAAGCRAACGTGCGCTTTCCCTAGAGAAAACTATCAAATATCAATGAATTATGAATGTCAAAAACGGTATTTGGTTCTCGTGAGATTGTGTTATAACTTATATTGAGTCTTTTCGAGATAAAAAACACCTTCTCAATAAGCTGAGACTAATAAGAGCTAATTGAAATTGCTAACAACAAAAGCTACTTAAAAATCTAAGCGCTACACTGTTAAATGGACGGCAAACTTTCTTAAATGAACGAACAACATGCGGTTTGTTTTGCGTGTCTATTGTTCGTGAAAAGTAGCGGTTTTACTTGGTAAATTTGTAAAATAATTTTGACATCTTGAAAAACGGCACTAAAGCCATTGAAGAGGTCTGTGTTGTTGAGTGTCCTTTTGTCAAATAATGACACAAAATCACAGACTTTCAAGAAAAACAAGGCTTGTATACACGGAAAACGAAGAACATTGAACAGAATCTGAAAAACACGTATATTACAAGACATAAATTTGATGATTGTATACTGGTGCCAGTGGAAATAAATCCGCTTCTAACTCAACTCATCAAACTTAACTATCTCGCTTCTTTGGTACTCTCGTATTTGGTTCTAGCCATGTAGTCTTTCGCAATGTATGATATTCGACATTATCAAATCCATGGCCAAAGAATATGAGTATCCTCACGCTCTTATTGGTCACCCTACCACTAGGATATCAACTCGTATATTGCAAGGAGAGAAAAAACAAAATGGCGACTAGATTTGAAAATCTTAAGTTATTATAATTATTGTGTTAAATATTTAACTTGTAATAAAATTAAAACGTTTTTAAAATTCTTTGTTTGGATATAATAAACCAATTATTTTACTAAGTCTCTTGGTATATGGCTGATAGCCGACTCATCTGTTCATAAAACTCGACTTTGTGAAATATTACATACTTAATGTAAGTAGCTTAAAGTGCCATCGCCAACCGCTACCCATACTTTTGTTTGTGTTTTGAAAATAAAGATATATCGTAATATAAGTTATAAATTATAATCTTTATTATCCCTTGATGGTCTAAGAAAAAACGGATTACAAACCGAAATGTGAGGTCATTTTTTTTTTTTTTAGTGAAAATAAGACACGACCGCATTGAATGCTGGTTGGTGAGTGTCCTTTATAACATAAAGTACAATTGTTTTAATCAAAATTTTAATGTCATTATTTAAGGAAACTGTAGAATGTTAATGTATACACCAAATTGAAGAGAAGTTGTCAAAACCAAAAAGTAGAGGTAAGTTATAACCAGACTGATGTATGATGATGATAGCAGCAAATTCTGAAAGTTTTGCATTCGAAAAAAGCGATTGATCAATACCAAAAGAAAAGAATCCTTTAAAGTGAATTAAGGTTTATTGTCAATATTATTTTATCGTTTTTAAAAGTGTCGCCTGTAATACATCCGTCTATTTCATTTCTAAACAATATGAAGTGACGTCATTTTTAGAAACAAAGCATGTCGGGAAGTGTATGGTTTTCGCGCGTTTTCCTAACCAAAAACTTCAATATCAATTCTTGCGCTTGGTCATGAACATTTTCGTCAACTGATTGCAGAAACGGATTGACTGACGTCAATTTCTGCGAGGATGCAAATGTTTTTATAAAATGGCACGTGGTTTGCAATGTCATTGACTGATTTTCGCTTGAAACTGTTGTGTAAAAGATAAATTTAACACCTTAAAAAAGTAGGTGAAATAACTTACTGACGTTTCGGACGTTAATCCTTCGTCGGAGTAAAGAGATGGATCACATTTTCGCTTGTCCGATATTCAAGGAATACCATCAAGGGTTACCATGAAAACAACTGTATAAAGCTTTTTGGTTTTTACTTTTTTTTTCTCTTGTGTAGATTTTCGACCTCTATAAATATTGTTTGGCGATATTCTGTCTGGTTGTTATTAATCGCGTCCGATATAAAACAAAAATGTCTGATGCACGAATAGTTTTATTAGAGTCTTAAAACAAAACAATTCATAAATAGAAATATGAATTGTCACGAAATGTAATGATTGATGGAAATATTATGAGGGCAATTAAAAAAAAAAGTTATTATTATATTGTTTATTTCGAACTTAATATAGCTGCATGTTGCATCGATTAGAAAAGGTTGCCTAGCGACGTCATTTAAAACTTCCTACCGTACACAAGCATGCATCGCGGTCGTTGCTCGAGTTATTCACGAACTAATAATCAGTTAATCTTGAGATGAATTCGATTATACGTTTACAATCCTTTTCCATTCTTTTTCAATCCCTTTCCATTTAGTTTTTTTCTTTTTCTTTTTACAAAATTTTGGCATATATTTTTATGTTAAGGACATCTTGAGTGGAGAGTAAAAGATGGCAACTTTTGTCGAAAACAAAGAGAGAAAAGAAAACAACACGGCTACTTTGATGTATCGATTGAAACGTCTGAAAAAAAAACCGGCTGCAAGTATAACAAGTAAGAAGCAATGTTGAAAAGTCAATGTTGAAAAACAACACTTTTTTTAAACACAATTCGAGCAGAATAATTGAAAATGTTTGAAACTTTCTTCAAAATAGGAACGAAGCACAACACTTCACAATGATGTCCGTAGGGCACTCTTACTAGACAAGCACTTACATATGTATCATTACGTAATACAGCGTCAGTAAAATCCAAAAATCTCGCGTTGACGCCGTCTCACGCAGCAGTTTGGACCATTGACGTCATMTCGTTTCCCGCCATTACTGAAAGTCATAAAATTCAGCCCTTTTGGTGATTATAGGACTTGCAGCGTAGTATTTCGAAATGATTAAAGACTGGGCCACTTGTGAGGTTTTGGATGGCAAGTTTCCTGTGTTTGATCAGTGCTGTTATGACAGTCAAAATACTGTGAATAAATGAATATACGACGCGAGCGCATCTCAATGACAAATGACCGTCTTTGTGAGGAACTCTTTTGTGAAGCAAAGCTGGATAAATCAATACTAGAGATTATATGCGTAATATGTACGTTACGTAAGGGCTGGTTTACGCTGCAATATAAACATAAACGCAAAAAAATAGATTTAGGGGTTAAAACCACTTGAGGATTTAAAAGGAGGACGAAAACAAAAGGAAAATTTAATGATTTATGACTTTGTAATTTTGTTTCTTGCTGTGATTATTGCGACGTGTTATGTTGCACGCTTTGGTCCATTACTTCGTCCTTTTTAAAAAAATGAAATAAAATTTCTTAGACATCTTGGTTTGGCTTTGAAGTTTTTTTTATTTTGGGTAGAAAAGACTTACAAGGACAGTTGTCATCTACAATACTATAAGAAGTGTTGACATTTTACTGCAGACGACGGAACACGGCTTGCTTTGAATTCGTAAAACACAAGGATTTCGTCCCATTATGTTATTGTTATTTGCTTAAATCTCCGTCAACATTTTTTAATTCATGCATGGAGTTACACTGTCATTTTCAATCTCTTCTCAATAGTTAAAATAAAGCTCTTTTACTATTGCAATCTATGTTTCTGAAAAGGTAGATCCGCCATTAGAGTTCCATATATGGACACAGCCTTCCATATATGGCATAGGGACTCATTTGAAAATGAATCTACTGCCATATTTGTTTTTATGTCGAGTTTTAATCCTATTTAAGTAAATAAAAGAGCACTTTAGATTCGGTCGTTTAATACATAATAGCTGTTGTGTGTCAGGATATTTTTAGAAAGCGAGGTTTTGTTTGTATACGAAATGCTCAAAAGATTAAAGATCGACTTTTTGAAATGAAAACCA